CTGGGTTTTGAGAGCCTGAGCATTTATCCCCAACTCCTAGCTAAGCCTGTCCCTTCTTCATGAGCCCTAGCCAACTGGGGCCAACAGTCAGTGCTTTTTTAAAAAAACCCAAACAACCCACACTGATCACTCCACTCTTGACACATTCCTGTGCCTCCCTTTGGAGGCCTGCCCCACAGTTTGAGAATTGCTAGTGTAGACAGTCACCATTGGGATTGGCAGCCAAGATGGTAACGCCTGCTCCTTTCTGTCTCCGGGATCCTCAGAGAAAATGTCCGAGCAGAAGAGCGGAACAGATCCGATTAACACTAACCTTGCAAAACAAATTTTGGTGATTTCAGCTATTAACATTCCCTCCATCCTTCAGCCCCTACCCATAGCGATTTCAATGTGACTGAGCTAGAATTGGGTAGGTAGCATGGGCGAGGGTATAATCTCTGAATTATTGATCCCTGAATTAACAGAATACATGCTTGTTACATGCCGGAAAACGCCCACAGACTAGCTCCTCAGAGACAATGGTACCCGCACACCAGCCAGGTGCTAAGTGGCCATTAATTGCTTAGCCGGCCATTCGCCAGCTGTGGAGCTGTGAACCAGAGAGTTACAATTTTACAATTCACCAGAAGGACGGCTGGACGCTCACTTAGGCCACAGACTGATTGTCACCTGTCCTCCAGCTGGAGGGTGAACTTCAAAGTGGAGAATGGTATAAAAGCACAAGGAAGAATTGTCTCCATTTTCACCTCTCCTCTCCCATCTTTACAGAAGGCAACAATATGCCTTGAAAGGCCACAGGGGCCTTGAACTGGGGAGGACGGTCCAAGGCAGGAAAAGAATCCAATCTGGGTACTTAGAACGGTAAACTGCCTACAACAGCGGGTGGGGTGCGAAAACCCGCTTGCTTCGCATTTTACTTAGATTGGTAAAATTTACGATTTAAACTGCATGTTTTAATTTTATAGTTTTAACCAGTTCTGACCTTTTACATATTTCTCCCTTGTAATCCCTGAAAACCTCCTTGTTCCAGTTAATAAACTGATGTTAGTGTTTTGTCTGGACCTGTGTGTTTTCACTGAAGTGTTTGGGGGATTTGACTTGAGAAAACAAGACTGTGGTCTAGTCAGGTGGGGGATGACCCACTAATTATTGAGTTTGTCTAGGACAGTGTACAGACTGAGCAGTCCAAGATGCAGATTCCCGGGGTGCAAGGCTGGGAGTAGAAAAATGGCTGATGTTGCTGTGTCGTTTAGTAACTTCATGAGTGTCTGGCTAGTTGCACTCAGTACATTGCAGCCAGGTGTGAGTTTGAATGCTGGTGGCTGTGGAGGGGTTTGTTGTTCACACAGGGACGCAGCAGGGCGGATTTGATTTAAATCACAAGTCAGGAAGACTCGATTTAATCATGGTATTCTACATAAAAGTGCATTCTTGTTGGTTGTTATAACCTTCATACATATTCTTCACAACTCATAGATCGATGTAGGTTTCATTTTTAGAAGGTACACACTATACATTTTAAAACAGTGATTTATTTTGAAAACTTTTCAGATGAGTTTTACAGCTATATCAGACAATGAATGATTGTTTGGTTATTTCATTTACCAAAGGTAATTGAAGCAGATATTTATGAAGTCATTGGGAGGTGAACTATCTCCAATTCAACAGGTTAATCACTAATACTTGGATGATTTTCTTGCCATACTGTATTAGGAGAACACCACCAGACAGACATTTAAATTGTTTTATTTAACTAAAACAACAACATTAAGTATTCTGGATTTTTTTCTTCAACAGCAAACATATAATATTTTAACAGAAAAACATATGTCCATCGCTTCTCACATTTATCTCCAGACTTCTTCTCCTTGTCCAGATATATTCCGCCTCCAACAGTCTTCTATTCATTCAACTTTTTGAAACTTTGCACTTTTGGAGAGAGGTAAGGGATTGACTCTGTGTACACAAATTTGCAGAGGGACAATAGAGGTGAGGTCTGTTATTTTTCACCTCTATATATTAATTTATTTGAAAACATGCTGTTAACAAGCATGTTACCTCTGGAGACACAAAGCCACAGTTTGAGAACTGGAAAACTAAACATCTCTGATGGGATCTTCTAGACCAGTGGTCTCCAAACTGGGGTGATGATCCCAGGGGGTGCGTGGCAGCAGGAGCGCCACCGGAGGGCACTCCACTGTTTTTTTTCTTTGGCGGCAGCTCTGCACGTCCACGGCTGGTGTTCCCCTCTGGCAGCCCGCCTGTGGTAAGTCTTCCGTTCTTTTTCCGTCGGCGGCGCGTCTGCAGTAGGTCTTCTGGTCTTCTTCCATCGGCGGTGCACCTGCGGCTGGTCTTCTTCTGTTGGTGGCGCATCTGCAGCAGGTCTTCTGCTCTTCACCCTGGGGGTGCGCGAGCCAAAAAGTTTGGAGACCACTGTTCTAGACTGAGCACTGAGCCCCACTGGGTAGAACTTTTGGAACTCATGTACAAAACTTTTCTTAAACATTACATGAATACAGTGTCTCATACTATAGAATTAGAATTTAAAATCCCTATACCATGATGAGATATCTTTGAGCTATAATGTATCTTAATTAAAACGATCTTTAGATAAAATGTTTTTTGCGGAAAAAGTTATCAAGAAAATCAGATTTTTTTTATTTAAATTGGATTTTTTAAATTAAAAAAAAAAACACATTGATTTCTATCCACCCTGGGTTGGAGAATTAAGCAGTTCAAAAGTCCAGATTGTAACCTGGGTTATGTTTCACATCCGCTGACTTCTGGGACCCAACATAGCACCATTGGGCTTTCATCATCCTGCTCCTGAAAGGCAAGCCAGGCAGGGCAAACCAGAGAAGGGGAACCAGCTGACATCATCAACTCCACTGACTTCAGCTAAATTTTGAACTCCCACAGAGATGTGAGATTTGAAATTCTGCTGCCAGCCTTCCCTTCATGCGTCTGTTTCTCTCCAGTGTGGTTTCTCCCATGGTTATTAAGATCTGAGCGCTTATTGAAGCTTTCCCCATGGTCCAAGCATTGAAGGGGTTTCTCTCCAGTATGGATTGTCTGATGTGTCACAAGCTGTGATCTCAGAATGAATCCTTTCCCACACTGAAGGCAGGGTGTCTCTTCCTTGGGATTTGTCTGCTGTGCTCTGGGATCCTCGTCTCCTCCCTCACCATTAATAGATTCATCCACTTTCTTCCCTGGGTGGATTCCCAGAAGCCTCTCTGACCTGTGCCCATTTCCCCAGGCTTCTCCCTACTCCCAGGAATGGGAAAAATTCCCTTCAGGTCCTCCCACAAAGGTCTCCTGTGGTTCCACTTTTCCAGGAACTTCCTCATGATGATTCCCCTCCTTGTTCTCACTCCCTCGCTCAGCACCTGCTGGGAGAGAGACAATCCAGACAGGAGTCATTGTGCTGGGGAGAAACAGGAATAGCACCGAGACGAAACCCGACACAAAGACTGAGCAATGGATTCTGCCTCCACATCCCACCCAAATACTTACAAGGAAGGAGAGACGGGAAGGAAACTCCTGCAGCTAAGAGTCTGGGTGGAATAGTGTGAGCGATATCTGTTGACTAGAGCCTTGCTCTGGGTGTGATGAGGAAGAACTGAGTGCGCTTACTCATACCATATTTTGGGATTCTCAACTTTTTCCTTCATTCCCTAGATGGTTTCTGTGTCAGTCCTCACCTGTATGGGTGCATCTCGGAAGCCTTCTTTACTTGCTGGCCTGGAGCTCGGGAACCCACAACTCATCCTCTCGTTTCAGCTCAGGTTTGGGAATGGGAAATTCTGTGCAGATGGTGGAATCAGACCAGATCGGGGTGCGTGGAGCATTGGTGGAGTATTTGTCAGAAAGGACATTCCATGAGTGGAACCTGTCCCTGTGCTCTGCTGGAGCAACGTGGAATCCAAGACGATGGGAACAGGGTCACTGAGCACCCTTGCACCCCTGCCTCATCCCAGCCTGCCCCCTGCATCCCCAGCACCCGCCTTCTGCCCCCCACCCCTGCAGCCCAGTGTGACAGGGGGGCACCGCTCCCTGGGGGGGATCTCTCTTACCTTCCCTCCGAGTGGGGCCCCCCTGGGGCAGGGGCCAGGCCCGGAAGGGGGCCCTCGCCAGGCTGGGGACTCTGCCCTGGGAGAGGCTCCCAGGGAGCAGCGGGAAGGGCCCGGCTGGAGAGTCCTCTCTCCCGGCTGCAGCCAGGGCTCCGGGCTCCCAGCACCAACCGCTGGGGCTCAGGGATCTTGCCAGGAGCCTGGGAGCCAGAGTCATCGCAGCGGCTGCGAGTCACTTCCTGCCGCCGAGACTGACCCCAGCGATCGCTCCCAGCCGCATCCCAGCCCCTCCTGGGTCCTAGCGATAAACCCATCACTCTGCAGCATCTCTGTGTCTGACTTCTGTTACACCCACAGGCTCCCTTCTTGCCTGAGCCAAGTTTGGCATCTAAAGAACAGGGAGTCGCTGCCTATCATTGTTTGGGGGTATCGTTCATGGACCTTTAGAGTTCTGGGGCAGCTTCACACGACACTCACAGTCGAAGTCTAGTCGTTCTCTGGCACCCATGCAGCGAGTTCACAGTTCTCAGCCTCAGCTGCCAGGCTCTGAGGAGTAAACCCAGCAGTTTCCCAGCTCTGTTCCCACAATTTCTCCCCCTCCCAACAGTATCTTACATCTCTGCAGAGATCAGGCAGTGTCATGGAAATTAACCACACGTTGTGTTTGGATCAGACAATCTGAGGCTCGTTTATTGTACTACAAGCATGCAGGGAGAGACAGCTGCACCGAGCAGCTCTGCAAAGATGAAAAAACAAAAGCTTACATAGATTTGTAACAATATTCAGATAAGCACACTTCCTCATTAATATTTCCTTATTAGGAACACAGCAAAAACAAGTTGTCTGGTTTTAACAAGTTGTTTTTTACGGTTAACGGCTTTCTTAAGATTAGCTGTTGCAATTATGTTTCTCGGAGCTCCCTCATTCCCCGCCGCCCCTCAGCTCTTTATCACGTACATAGTTAACTTGACCAAAGTTTGTGCCCACTTAATTTTGCTTTTACAGGCAGTAACTTCATTTCCATTTCAGTCTCTGCTTCTCACCTTCTGAATCTAGTTCTCACCATCAGTGTTCCTGCTGTGAGATACTGATCACGGTCATTGTTCAAACCACACACAAAAATCTCACAACAAAGGGTTAGATAAACATTAAAATAAAATAAAATCTAAAAAAGGACAATTCTGGCAAATGACCATTTGTCTCTTGAAATCTGCAATAAATCTGAACTACATCCTGTCAAACTAAACTAATATCAAAGTAGGTGACCTCACGGCCTTCACAAAGAGAAAAATCCACAGTCCAGGGTGGGCTATAAAATGATTTCACATTCATAAAGTGAAATCTCAGACAATCCTTTAAGACTTAAAATCAGGGGAAGAAATTTACCCATTTTCTTCTGAAGTGGCTAAACCGGCTTCATTTCTCACCCCATTATTCAGCTGTATGAGTTACAAAAGTTTAGCATCATCATAACAAAAGAAAGAGAAAGAAAAACAAAAAAACCTTCCCATCTATAAATGATCTGGACCAAACCTAGAAAAAGCCAGAAAGCAATTTTACCAATAGATGGAAACAGGGCTATAAAATCTGAAGGTCCAACTGTGCTTTGAAGCTCATTGAGATTTCCCTGCCCACTCCAGGTCTGTGACACTTCCTTCTCCAGCCCTCCAGAGTCTGACTAAGATCATAGACATCAAAGCTGTGACTCCTAAGCATGGAGAGCCAGGCACAGGGTGGTACGTGACACCTTGGGAGGTGGAGGGATAGAACGGAGGCAGGTTAAACTTTCCATGGCTGGGACAGATGCTGCTGTGTGGAGAGTGGAGCGTGACAGTGACAGGGGAAGGAGGTTTCAGAGTGGTAGCTGTATGAGTCTGTATCCACAAAAAGAACGAGGAGGACTTGTGGCACCTTAGAGAGCAACACATTTATATGGGCATAAGCTTTCGTGGGCTATGACCCACTTCATCAGATGCATAGAGTGGAGCATACAGTAGGAAGATGTTCTCTGTATATATCTCGGGAGTCTGTCCTATCTGGGGGACTCTCTTCCCCCCCCCGCCATGATACAGATCTGGAAGTCTACTTTCATCGTCTCCGACTCAAGGGATATTTTCAACACACCACTGATCAGAGTACTGGCCCACAGGAACCCTCCTACCAACACTACAAGGAAAAGAATGCCACGTGGGCTCCTCCTGAGGGTAGAAATGACAGACTGGACTTCTACACAGAGTGCTTCTGCAGACGTGCACAGGCTGAGATTGTGAACAAACAGCGTCACTGACCCCTGTTGTGGAAAAAACCACCACGCGTTGTTTTTTGAATCAGAACAGCCTGGGGCTCCTTTATTAGGATACAAGCATGCAGGGAGAGAAACAGCAGGTCACACGCAGGTGCCAAGCTGCTCTCTGGCTCTCCTCCAATAACACACAAACTTCGTAACTTCGTAATAGGTTCGTAATTGCTTTCAAGCAAATATAATTCCCCATCAATATTTTTCCAACACTCAAGCCTCATTAATAATGCCTTATAAGGAATATAGTAAAACAACTCCATATTAGTACAGCAAAAACTTGTTTATCAGCGGTAATAAAATCTGCGATTAATTGGTGCAATATTGCGGCTGGGGGTTTTTACAGAGCTGGCTGGTGCAATAACGTGCAGTTGGGGACTTTTCGGACGCTGCTTGGTCCCCCTCAGCCCCCCTTCCAGCCCCTAGTCACGTACCCACAGTGGCTTAACTGATTATCTGTGTCAACAGACACAGGCCTACTGCACTTTACTATGCTGGCCTAAGTCATACAGGACACGGGCCTGTAGGTTTCTTGAGTTACAGCATTTCCATATAATAAGCTTTCCTCTCTATAGATCAAGTTTAGGCCTGAGAAATTGCCCGCACACCCCATAACCTCAGCCACACAGAACACAACGCCATCCACGGCCTCAGAAACAACCCTGACATTCTAATCAAAGGGGCTGACAAAGAAGGTGCTGTAGTCATCATGAACAGTCGGATTATGAACAGGAGGCTGCCAGGAAACCTTCCAACACCACATTCTACAGGCCACTGTCCTCCGATCCCACTGAGGGGATCAACTGCTCAAAAAACTCCCTGCTATAGCATGGGAACAAATCTACACAGACACACCTCTAGAGCCCCGACCTGGGGTATTCGATCTGCTACCCAAGATCCATAAACCTGGAAATCCTGGACGCCCCATCGTCTCAGGCATCGGCACTCTTACAGCAGGATTATCTGGCGATGTGGACTCTCTCCTCAGACCCAACTCTACCAGCATTTTCGAGACACCACTGACTTCCTGAGGAAACTACAACGTATTGGTGATCTTCCTGAAAACACCATCCTGGCCACCACGGATGTAGAAGCTCTTTACACCAGTATTCCACATGAGGATGGGCTACAAGCTGTCAGGAACATTATCCCTGATGAGGCCATGGCACATCTGGTGACTGAGCTTTGTGACTTTGTCCTCACCCACAACCATTTCAGATTTGGGGACAATTTATACCTTCAAGTCAGTGAGACTGCTATGGGTACCCGCATGGCCCCACAGCATGCCAACATCTTTATGGCTGACTTAGAACAACGCTTCCTCAGCTCTTGTCCCCTAGCGCCCCCTCCTCTATTTGCGCTACATTGATGACATCTTCATCATACGGACCCATGGGAAGCAGGCCCTTGAAGAATTCTGCCAGGATTTCAAAGATTTCCACCCCAGCATCGACCTCAGCCTGGACCACACAAGAGATCCTGGACACTACAGTGCAAATAAGTGATGGTCACATAAATACCACCCTATACTGAAAACCTACTGACTTCTATACTTACCTACATGCCTCCAGCTTCCATCCGGGACACATCACATGATCCATTGTCTACAGCCATGCCCCAAGATACAACTGCATTTGCTCCAATCCCTCAGGCAGAGACAAACACCTACAAGATCTTTATCAAGCATTCTTAAAACTACAATACTCACCTGGGGAAGTGAGGAAACAGACTGACAAAGGAAGATGGATACCCAGAAGTCACCTACTACAGGACAGGCCCAACAAGGGAAATAACAGAACACCACTGGCCATCATGTACAGCCCCCAGCTAAAACCTCTCCAGTGCATCATCAACGATCTACAATCTATCCTGGAAAACGATTCCTCATTCTCACAGACCATGGGAGGCAGGCCAGTCCTCGCTTACAGACAGCTCCCAATCTGAAGCAAATACTCACCAGCAACTACACACCACACCACAGAAACACTAACCCAGGAACCAATTCCTGCAGCAAATCCCGTTACCAACCTCTGTCCCCATATCTACTCTAGCGACACCGTCATAGGACCCAACCATAACAGCCACGCCATCAGGGGCACATTTACGTGCACATCTACCAATGTGATATATGCCATCATGAGCCAGCAGTGCCCCTCTGCCACGTACATTGGCCAAACCGGACAGTCTCTATGTAAAAGAATAAATGGACACAAATAGGACATCAGGAACGGTAACATACAAAAGCCGGTAGGAGAACATTTCACTCTCCCTGGACATTCAATAACAGATTTAAAAGTAGCCTTCAACCAAAAAACTTCAAAAACAGACTTCAGAGAGAAACTGCAGAGCTACAATTCATTTGCAAACTTAACACCATCAATTTGGGCCTGAATAGGGACTGGGAGTGGCTGGCTCACTACAAAAGCAATTTTCCCTCTCTTGGTATTGACCCCTCCTCATCAGTCATTGGGAGTGGTCCACATCCACCCTGATTGAATTGGCCTTGTCGGCATTGGTTCTCCACTCGTAAGGTAACTCCCTTCTCCTCATGGGCCAGTATATTTCTGCCTGTATCTGTAATTTTCACTCCATGCATCTGAAGTGGGTTTTTTTACCCACGAACGCTTATGCCCAAATAAATCTGTTAGTCTTTAAGATGCCACCAGACTCCTCCTTTTGTTATGAAGGGCTGATTTCCAATGGAAACCATTCCTGCAGTCCAGGCATTTATAGGGTCTCTCTTCTGTGTGCATTCTTCAATGATTATTAAGGTTTCTGCTGTTACTGAAGCTTTTCCCACATGCCAAGCATTTATAAAGTCTTTGTCCTGTGTGGCTTGCCTGATGTGTAACAAGGCCTGATCTGAGTCAATTACATGCAAGCTGCTTAACCCTTTCTTGTCACGTGTCACAGAAGTTTAGATCCTGTGTGGATTCTCCCATGTTGAATGAGGAATGATCTCCATGTGAAACTTTTCCCACAGTCCAAGCACTTATAGAGTCACTCTCCTGTGTGGATTCTCTGATGTTTCACCAGGGTTGATCTCCGAGTGAAACTTTTCCCACAGTCCAAGCACCTGTGGGGTCTCTCTCCTGTGTGGATTGCCTGATGTTTAACAAGGTCTGACTTTCGTATGAAACTTTTCCCACAGTCCAAGCACTTGTGGGGTCTCTCTCTTGTGTGGATTACCTGATGCTGAACAAGCTGTGACCTCTTTATGAAACCTTTCCCACAGACCAAGCACTTGTTGGGTCCCTCTCCTGTGTGGATTGCCTGATGATAAACAAGCTCTGACCTTCGTATGAAACTTTTCCCACAGTCCAAGCACTTGTGGGGTCTCTCTCCTGTGTGGATTGCCTGATGTTGAACAAGGTGTGACCTTCTTAGGAAACTTTTCCCACAATCCAAGCACTTGTGGGGTCTCTCTCCTGTGTGGAATGCCTGATGACAAACGAGGTCTGGCCTTCGTATGAAGCTTTTCCCACAGTCCAAGCACTTGTGGGGTCTCTCTCCTCTGTGGAGCGCCTGATGTTCAACAAGGTTTGACCTTCTTATGAAACTTTTCCCACAGTCCAAGCACTTGTGGGGTCTCTCTCCTGTGTGGATTGCCTGATGTTTAACAAGATGTGACCTCTGCATGAAACTTTTCCCACAGTCCAAGCACTTGTGGGGTCTTTCTCCTGTGTGGCTTGCCTGATGATTAACAAGCGCCGACCTCCATGTGAAACTTTTCCCACATTGTAAGCACTTATGGGATCTCTCTTCTGTGTGGATTGCCTGATGTTGAACAAGGTCTGACCTTTGCATGAAACTTTTCCCACAGTCCAAGCACTTGTGGGGTTCCTCTCCTGTGTGGCTTTTCTTATGTGACTTTTGTGCCGACTTTGAACTGATACGTTTCCCGCACTCAAGGAACTGAATGGGCTTCTCTCCAGTGTGGCTTCTCCCATGGTTATTAAGATCTTTGCGCTTATTGAAGCTTTTCCCACGGTCCAAGCATTGAAGGGGTTTCTCTCCAATATGGATTGTCTGATGTGTCACAAGCCGTGATCTCACAATGAATCCTTTCCCACACTGAAGGCAGTGCCAGGGTGTCTCTTCCTTGGGATTTGTCTGCTGCACTCTGGGATATTTGTTTTGTCCCCCACCGTTAATAGATTCATCCACTTTGTTTCTGGGGTGGTTCCCTGGAAGCCTCTCTGACCTGTGCCAATTTCCACAGGATTCTCCCTCAGAGCACTGGGAAAAATTCTCTTCAGGTCCTCCCACAAAGGTCCCCTGTGGTTGCACTTTTCCAGGAACTTCCTGATGATGATTCCCCTCCTGGTTCTCACTCCCTCGCTCAGCGCCTGCTGGGAGAGAGACAATCCAGACAGGAGTCACTGTGCTGGGGAGAAAGAGGAATAGCACCGAGGGAAAACCCAAAAGAAAGACTGAGCAATTGGATTCTGCCTCCACATCCCACCCAAACACTGACAAGGCAGGAAAGCTGGGAAGCAAACTCCTGCAGCTAAGAGGCTGGGTGGAATGCCGTGAGCGATAACTGCTGACTACAGCCCTGTCCTGGCTGAGATGAGGAACAACTGAGGGTATTACTCACACCTTATTTTGGGATTCTCAACTTTTCTCTTCATTCCCTTGATGGTTTCGGTGTCAGTCCTCACCTGTGCGGGTGCATCTACGAAGCCTTCCTTCCTCGCAGGCCTGGAGATCGGGCACCCATGGCTCTTCCCCTTGCTCCAGCCAGGCGATCAGCTCGGGTTTGGGAATGGGAAATCCTGTGCAGAGGGTGAAATCAGACCAGATCAGGGTGCATGGGGCATTGGTGGAGTATTTGTCACTAAGGACATTCCCTGTGCTCTGCTGGAGGAACGTGGAATCCAAGGGGATGGGGAAATTATCACTGAGCCCTGTTCCACAGAGGAAATTGTCTGTGGAGGTGAGTTGAATTATTACTACACCCTCACTAGGCGAACGCAGGATCTGTGCGCTCTGGGGGCCTTGCTGACTCACACACAGGTCTGCACTTAAGACCCTGCCTCTTTCTAAACCTGCAGAACCCAGAGCCCTCCCTATGCCTGGAGCTATTCCCAAGGAGGGAGGTGAACAGGGATTGTATGTGCAGCCAAGAAACACAGACAGGACAATGCTAGATTTATGCTCCTTTGAAAGCTGGAGGGGTGGGGATGGTTTAGCTTGTCCACTGGGTTTTGACACCCTTCTCCCACTGAAGAGGGCACGGAGATGCAAGTCTTTCTTACATGGCAGCTGTGCATTATGGAACCCATTTGCCTCTGATCTAACTGACCAGGGAAGAACCTGACCACATTAAGACACGCAGACCCCACGGCTTCTAATAACCGAGTGGACGGGAATCCCTTACCCAGCGAGGTCACCATCTCGTAGTTCTCCTGCATGACGTCCCTGTAAAGGGCTCTCTGAGCGGGGTCCAGCAGAGCCCCCTGCCCCTTGGTGAAATAAATAGCTACATCCTCAAAGGTCACCGGCATCTGAAACAGCAAGAGTCCCTCACTCAGCACGGGCTGCCCCAGATACAATCCCACTACTCATGGGAAAGGAAAAAAACCGTGAAGCTGTGGGAGGGCCAGAGTAGCAGAATCCCACCCCCACCCTGCTCAGAGCAGCCAGGAGGCTTCAGGGGGTGGGGAGAAGGTGAGAACTCCTTGTCCCCCCCCAGCACACGGAGCAGGGCAGGGTTTTCTCATTTCCCACACTCCTGCCAGCCAGAGGCTGATACGGGAAGCAGAGCTCTGAGCTGGGGACAGGGACAGGAATCCCGACAGCTTCCCTTCGTATTTCACAGCAGCCTCTGGCCAGTGGGTTCAGGCTCCAGCACTGGGAGTCTGGAAAATGTTCCCAGCCCTGCCGAGGGGGGTTATATCCTGTTTCAGAAATGGGGGAATGTCCCCTCTCCCCTCCCCTGACTCCAGTGGGCCCACTCAGAAAATCAGCAGGTTTCTCACACCCTTTCTCCTACCTGCCTCTCCCTCCTCCAGCTCAGCAGCTCCCTGAAAATCCCCTACCTGAGTTGGCTCCATCACAGCCATTTCCCTTCCCTGTTCCCTGGAAGATGGGACGATCTGGAGCGACACGTGGACGTGATTCCTCAGCCTGTCGGGTCGAGAGGGGTGGTTACAGAAGGGGCTTCTGTCCATGTCGCCCCCAGATTCCTGTGGAAGAAACAGACTCTTCACTCTTGTGTTTGTTAGCAGCAAGTCAGAGGCAGTGTATTTCAAGCAATTGCAGGGGGAGCCTAGGGACAGGGGGGTTCCCTTCCTTCGGCAGGTCTCCAAAGTACAACAGTGTAAGGCATGTATTTATAGGTTCCCGTCACCAGGGCCGGCTCTAGGCACCAGCCAAGGAAGCAGGTGCCTGGGGCGGCCAGTCTGAAGGGGTGGCTTTCCGGCCGTTCTGCGGGGGGGCACTCGGGCCACTTTTTGTTCCTTCTTTTGGCGGCACGGCTGTGGCAGGTTTCTTTTTTTTTGCTTCGCCACTTGGGGTTGCAAAAAGCTCGAGCTGGCCCTGCCCATTACATATGTCAACGGATACAGCTGTTCCGTGTTTATACATTTTCCTTTCCATTATCTCAGTCAGCACTCCATTCTTATCTTAAAGCAAGCTTAGAAAACAGCTTCCCATGTGGTTTTCCCATCCGCCTCGCACAATCCCCGCGTCTACAAATCTCGCAATGTTAGGATTAAGATTAGCCTGTCTTCTGCTCTGTCTCTTAATAACAGTAAGATGGCTGCTGCAAATCCCCTTTTCACACTTCCACATTCCCCCCGTGATCTTCAGACCCTCCCAGTAACAGCAACTCTGAACCAAATGCTAGAAATAGAGAAGAACCAAAGGGGCCACTTTCGGGAATTGCCCCCCATTGCAGTGTAAACCCCTCTCCCTTAGCAATAGCCGGAGCCCTCTGGTGGCATCACCTGAAGAATGAGCTGCTCTGGACTCCCCCAGCAGCCCCCAGGGACAGGCAGGGAGAGGCTGATCCCATTGGCTCATCCGCACTTCCCCCATGCCAGAACCAGCAGTGACTCTGGTCTGACTCCAGTGTGGCTGAGATCTGAATCCTGCAGGGAAATCAGACCAGGGCCCCGGGCAGCCCCCAACACTCATGAGACACTGACCCCACCAGCGCGGGTGTGTCTGACAATAACAGACTGGGAGCCGGGGACGGGGGCCGGGTTGGGTTTTTGCCTTGTAGCCTCTGGGCCCTGAGAGGTTAGTCCCCTGATCACTCCCAAAGCTGGTTTGACCAGTTCCGGGAGGAGAAGAGCTTCTCTCCGCCCCTCCCACCTCTTGTCCCATGGGGCGGAGAAGCTGCCTGGGCATCTCCCCCCGCTCCCCACATCCCCCCTTTCCCTCGCAGTGCCCCCCACTCACATCTTCCCCCATTCCCGACCTCGCTCCCCTCAGCCCCACAGTCCCCGATCCTCCTCCATTGCCCCATCTTCCCTTCAGTGCACCCCTGCCCCCATCCCAGCCTGCCCCCGGCATCCCCTGCACCCGCCTCCGGCCCCTCTTTATCCTCCTCCCCCTGCAGCCCAGATGTGACGGGGGGGCCGCTGCAAGGGGGGGATGGGAGGGTCTCTCTTACCTTCCCTCCGAGCGGGGCCCCCCGGGGCAGGGGCCGGGCCGGGAAGGGGCCCTGGCCGGGCTGGGGGCTCTGCCCTGGGAGAGGCTCCCGGGGAGCAGCGGGCAGGGCCCGGCTGGAGGTTCCCCTCTCCCGGCTGCAGCCCGGGCTCCGGGCTCCCAGCACCAGCCGCCGGGGCTCGGGGATCTCGCCGGGAGCCAAAATCCCCGCAGCGGCTGCGAGTCACTTCCTGGGCCGGGCTGAGCCCCGCGATCGCTCCCCCCAGAGCCGCCCCCCAGCCGCTCCTGGGTCCTAGCGATCAACCCACCAAAGGATCAGCATCCCTGTGCCCGGCTCCTGTTACACTCACAGGCTCCGAGGTCACAAGGGACCATCATGAGCATCTTGCCCAGGGATTCTCACCACCAAATTTGGTGGCCTCAGAGGGTGGCCAGCAACTCTCGCTGGTGCCCGCTCTGACACTTTCTCCTATAATCAGAACTAACTTTAGGAGAAACCAATCAATATGCACAGAGGTAAGAGGGGGGAACACTCCTCCTAGTGTGGGGAACTTTTCTGGCTTCTACGGAGCCCCAGTGGAATTGGCTAGCGAAAGGGTCTGAATCCTTTACCCAGAGGCCTGCATGACCTCAAGGACCCCTCCCCCCTGCCCGCTTCCACTCTGGACCAGTAACCCCAAGGCTGGGCCCAGGGCTCCTGAGGCGCTCCACCCCCAACCTTGTGATCACTCAGGACAGCTGTCCCCATTGTGGGGTGTTCTCTCCACTCTGGATGCTTCCTTCATCATTGCACAGAGTTAAGAACAAATACAATTTATTAAACAGGAAGTAATACAAAAATAAGGAGAAAAGTGGGAAAGATTAAAGGAAAACATGTCACCCCACTCTGTGGGAGGGAACCCCAGACAACCCTCTCTGGAATGCCAGGGCAGTTCACAGTCTGTCCCTCCCACATCCCAGGCCCTGGCTGTGCTGCAGGCATGCCCAGGGTTGGACACTAACTCTGGTGTTGGCCACACGCCCTCAGGCTCTAGGTGGCAGGACCCTTCTTCCTAGCGTCAGCCTCTTCCTGTCAGGGTTATGATCCCCCACCCAGTCTGGCCTGCAAGGCCTCTTGGCTGAGGGCCTCTCCTTGCCCTGGGCCCTTTGCCCAGGGTCCCCTTCGCTCACTGCTCCCGGCTGCTCCAGTTTCCCTCTGCCTCCAGCCCAGCCCAGCCCTCCTCTCTCCTTAGCCCCCCCTGCTCTGCTCTCGCCCAGCCAGCTCCAGCTGACACAAAGGAGAGGACCCCGCTGCTGACTCAGTCAGTGGCCTGCCTGCCCTGTCAATCAGGCTGACCTACAGCATTGACTCCTCCCTCTTGTCAGTCTCAGGATCTTCATTTCTCATTGGCCCTTCCCCTTTCTTTTGGTATTAGGAGACGGCCAACCGATGGCCAGCCCATTAAGTTTCAGTCAGGGGCCAACAATCCCCTTACACCTATAAACATGAAAATCAAAATTTATTTATAGCTAGCTAGTAAATCTGCTGCTGCGAAAAATGGTATTTCTATATTTGCTAAAATTTTTCCACAACCTCTCAGCTAGCGACTCGGGTTGCCAACTTGGTAATATTTAAAAAATGGACACCCAAGCAGGAGTGCTGCAACCTCCCCTGCCCCGCCCCTTCCCCCCAAGGTCCCATCCCTGCCCCGCCTCTTCCCCCCCCCACCCGAGGTCCCATCCCCACCCCACCTCTTCCCACCAAGGCCCTGTTCCGACTCCACCTCTTCCTCCAAGGGTCTACCCACCCCACACCCCCGCCCAAGTCAGGAGGAACTTGTCTGTGGAGCCGGGGTTGAGAGCTGCAGCTGCCCAGTGCAGGTAGGAGGCAGCCCCGGCTGAGTCGGCTCTGATGGGAGTGATGACCCAGTGCCTCCCCACCCGCAGTAACTCGACTTTGGGTGTCCGGTCAATAGATGTGATCGGAGACTGTCAGGTCCCCTTTTCAACTGGACTTCATGGTTGAAAACTGGGCACCTTGCCACCCTAACAGCACCCAATGTGCAAGAAGTGCTGGGAACGTGTCAGGGACACCTGTAACCAGGGGGCAGGTGGGTTAGACTCAGTTCTGACCAGCAGAGAAGAATTCATTGCTCTAGCTGAAATTACTGTAAAGTGGGCTTCAGAGTAGCAGCCGTGTAAGTCTGTATTGTGGCACCTTAGAGACTAACAAATTTGTTAGTCTCTAAGGTGCCACAAGTACCCCCTTTTATTTTTTTTGCAAAGTGGGTGTACAACTAAAGACTGCACTCAGAGTAGTTATTTATGGTCTGGTGTCAAACTGGGAGGGGAATGGTGCGGGGGAGGGAGAAGCCCCAGGTGGCCTCCCTCACTCTTTATGGGGAAGAGGGAGTGGGGGGGGGGCAGCCCAGCAGGGAACGGGGCCTAGATGGGGGGCAGTTCACATACAGCTTGTAGGGCAGCCCCATTCCTCGGAGAGAGCTGCTGCTGGAGTTGAGAGCCTGGGCTCTTAGCTCCCCACACTGCCCCCAGTGGAAGTGCTCCTGGTGAGGACACACCCCACCGACCCAAGGAGGGTAGTGTGGACACAGTCTATCGCAGTCATTACTGCGGTAGCTATAAGTGAACCTAATACAGGTCAACTTAGGTTTGGAGTGTAGATGTACCCTTACAAGCAAAAGGATTTCTCACCCCCAAAAGCTTTCAGCAGTCCATGCTCATTGGAAAGCCTTCCAGCTCGGACCACTCCGCCAGCTCAATGATGCTGTTATCTTTGAAGCAATTTTGCTGCTGGGAGTAGAGAGAGGGGAGGGGAGGTGGACAGAGCCCTTCCCCTTCTTATACTCAGAAAGAAAAAGGAGGACTTGTGGCACCTTAGAGCCTAACCAATTTATTTGAGCATAAGCTTTTGTGAGTTACAGCTCACTTCGGATGTATAAAAGTGGAAAATGCAGTGAGGATGTTTTTATATATACAGACCATGAAAAAATGGGTGTTTATCACTTCAAAAGGTTTTCTCTCCCCACCCCACTCTCCTGCTGGTAATAGCTTCTCTAAAGTGATCACTCTCCTTACAATGTGTATGATAATCAAGGTGGGCCATTTCCAGCACAAATCCAGGGTTTAACAAGAATGTTGGGGGCAGGAGGGTAGGAGACAACAAGGCGAAATAACCATTCCCGGTCTCTACAAGCCTATGGCATATATCAGTAACAATCATAGTTACCCCACGTCTGGGTTTTCCCAGAGAGCGCCTCTTTTTTGAGTCTGCTGAGTACAGATTTCCAGTAACAGCAAATGTCCCCATAATTTGCAGAGCAGACACTCTGCAGCTCAAAAAGAAGCCCTGATTGGTCCACTTCCCAACTGGTCCATTCCTTACATCCAGCCAATTGGTGCATTCCCCTGCACCTGATTGATTGCTGCCAGGTCCTGCCCACCCAGGCCTCAGCTCCCAGTCCTGGGGAGGGGGTCCCGGAGGTAGGTGTTGATTGACTGCTGTTGCTGCGTTCTGGGCTTGTGCCAGCCCCCTG